GAGTCGGTCCGGCTGCGGCGTCTCAGTATACCGCGAGCTGTAGTATACTGAGCTTAGGGTGATGGGAGGACGCTAGTTTGTGTCCTCCCGTTACCCTAAGGAGAACTATGGGGAAAAGCCCTGACCCCATAGTTCTCCTTTAAGGACCTCCATTTGGGGCAGTGACAGGATCTCTTTAAAGCCCTTGCCCCAACCTAGATACTGGTGCGGGCATGGGCTTCCAGGGGCAAGCATGTGACCTCCACCCATGATGCAGCTCTTAGCCCAAGCGGCCAACTGTAAGGCTTGAACATTGTCACATTAAGGACCCCCATTTGGGGAAGTGACAGGGTCTCTTTAAAGCCCATGTCCCAAACTAGATACTGGTAGGGGCATGGGCTTCCAGGGGCGGGCATGTGACCTCCTCCCATGATGCGGTGCTTAGGCCAAGCAGCCAACTGTCAGGCTTGACATTGTCACATTAAGGATCCCCATTTGGGGGAAAGGGACAGGGTCTCCTAAAAGCCCATGCCCCAACCTAGATATGGGTAGGGGCATGGGTTTCCAGGGGCAAGCATGTGACCTCCTCCTATGATGCAGTACTTACGCCAAGCAGCCAACTGCTAGGCTTGAACATTGTTGCATTATGGAGGGGGGACATCATATATCCTGTAAAGCTCTGACACAGCCTACACTGGGTGTATGGCGGCGGATGTGACCGAGCAAGGAAGAGCGGAGGAGGGCAATGAAGGCCAAGTATAACTGGGTGCAGGAATGGGTTTAAGGAGACAGTGTCTCTTGAATAAAATGTGAAACTTCAGCCAAAATGGAGAGTGCAACCCCCTTCCCTTAAGAACCCATTCCTCTTGGTATGTTCCCTTACAGGGCAGTGGTTTTGGTGCATTATTTTTTAGCACCAACTTCCGGTTATAGGGTGACAACGCTCTGTTCCAGTCCCCCAAATGTTCATCTGTGTTGTCACCCTGTGGACTTCTGATGGATACCACAAGTGGTCGTTTCAACACACATCACCCAGACATGGTCTACTGTTGTCACCATCGGGAGACCCTCCCTGAGAAATGCCACGCCGCCAACGCTGGAATGCATGTAGACAGGAAAGACTGCAAAATCAGCACCAGGGCCCTTCTAATCTTCCTTTCCTACTATGACATGAGGTACCTGTGTGTATCCTCCGGTGGGCCTTTAGGTGAGAACTCTTGGTATATACTTTATTGCACCCTTCGAAGTCGCACGGATGAACTCTCCTCTTCCGAAGATCTGGTGACGGCGTCCCGCTGTGCTGCATCAGAGACCTGGAGGGAAATATGACGTCATATTAAAAGCAGATGATGTCAGATTGCTGGCGTGACTTGTATGTAGGAAATATGTCTTAGGTTTGTCATACATGATGATATGGTGGATGTATGTGGGTTCTTCTAGGCAGCTTCCCGAAGAGCGATGGTCATAAAAAGGCCCACAGCTCATGTAGAGTGGTGTGTGGTGAGGAAAGCGCCAGACACGTTCGTGTATAGTCCAGAAATTTGATTTTATTCGGGGAAACGTTGAACGTTTTAGGGACTCAAAGGGGCCCCCCTTCAGAAGACCCAAAATGCACCGCACATTAGTCTACGTGAGCTGTGGGCTTTCCTATGGTCCATCACTCTTCAGAGAGCTGCCGAGAAGAACTTATATTATTCGGCATCCAGACCAGCGCTCCAGCCCTTACTGGAACATCTATCTGAGACAGCGGCCCCAGACCTCTTCCTAATCATACATCAGATGACAGCATGTATAAAAACATATATCACTGACCACCAATGTAAGTAGGTCCTTGTCCTACTGACCACCAACGTAAGAAGGTCCTTCTCCTACTGACCACCAACGTAAGAAGGTCCTTCTCCTACTGACCACCAACGTAAGAAGGTCCTTCTCTTACAGATCACCAATGTAAGGAGGTCCTTCTCCCACTAACCAGCAACGTAACAAGGTCCTTCTCCTACTGACCACCAACGTAAGAAGGTCCTTCTCCTACTGACCACCAACGTAAGAAGGTCCTTCTCACACTGACTACCAACGTAAGAAGGTCCTTCTCCCACTGATCACCAATGTAAGGAGGTCCTTCTCTTACAGATCACCAATATAAGGAGGTCCTTCTCTTACAGATCACCAATGTAAGAAGGTCCTTCTCTTACAGATCACCAATGTAAGAAGGTCCTTCTCACACTGACTACCAACGTAAGAAGGTCCTTCTCCTACTGATCACCAATGTAAGGAGGTCCTTCTCCTACTGACCACCAATGTAAGAAGGTCCTTCTCTTACAGATCACCAATGTAAGAAGGTCCTTCTCACACTGACTACCAACGTAAGAAGGTCCTTCTCCTACTGATCACCAATGTAAGGAGGTCCTTCTCCCACTGATCACCAAAGTAAGGAGGTCCTTCTCTTACAGATCACCAATATAAGGAGGTCCTTCTCCTACTGACCACCAATGTAAGAAGGTCCTTCTCTTACAGATCACCAATGTAAGAAGGTCCTTCTCACACTGACTACCAACGTAAGAAGGTCCTTCTCCTACTGATCACCAACGTAAGAAGGTACTTCTCCTACTGATCACCAACGTAAGAAGGTCCTTCTCCTACTGATCACCAACGTCAGAAGGTCCTTCTCCTACTGATCACCAATGTAAAAAGATCCTTCTCCTAATGACCACCAATGTAAGAAGGTCCTTTTCTTACAGATCACCAATGTAAGAAGGTCCTTCTCACACTGACTACCAACGTAAGAAGGTCCTTCTCCTACTGATCACCAATGTAAGGAGGTCCTTCTCCCACTGATCACCAAAGTAAGGAGGTCCTTCTCTTACAGATCACCAATATAAGGAGGTCCTTCTCCTACTGACCACCAATGTAAGAAGGTCCTTCTCTTACAGATCACCAATGTAAGAAGGTCCTTCTCACACTGACTACCAACGTAAGAAGGTCCTTCTCCCACTGATCACCAATGTAAGGAGGTCCTTCTCCCACTGATCACCAATGTAAGGAGGTCCTTCTCTTACAGATCACCAATATAAGGAGGTCCTTCTCCTACTGATCACCAATGTAAGAAGGTCCTTCTCTTACAGATCACCAATGTAAGAAGGTCCTTCTCACACTGACTACCAACGTAAGAAGGTCCTTCTCCTACTGATCACCAACGTAAGAAGGTACTTCTCCTACTGATCACCAACGTAAGAAGGTCCTTCTCCTACTGATCACCAACGTAAGAAGGTCCTTCTCCTACTGATCACCAACGTCAGAAGGTCCTTCTCCTACTGATCACCAATGTAAAAAGATCCTTCTCCTAATGATCACCAATGTAAGAAGGTCCTTCTCTTACAGATCACCAATGTAAGAAGGTCCTTCTCACACTGACTACCAACGTAAGAAGGTCCTTCTCCTACTGATCACCAACGTAAGAAGGTACTTCTCCTACTGATCACCAACGTAAGAAGGTCCTTCTCCTACTGATCACCAACGTAAGAAGGTCCTTCTCCTACTGATCACCAACGTCAGAAGGTCCTTCTCCTACTGATCACCAATGTAAGAAGGTCCTTCTCCTACTGACCACCAATGTAGTTATAGGTAAATTAAAAAAAAAAAGGTTGAAGGTTGAGAAAGGCCACTGTAGAGTCGTTGCCGAAGTCATTCCTCTTACCCATTTGTCCTGTCCTGAAAGGAGGAAGAGGTCTCCGTGCAATCGTCAGTGTCGCTGATCTCCTCCGGCGGGCTCAAGTCCGGCTCAATCTTAACTGTCAGGAAAGAACAGTTTATATGGTACAAATTGTTACTTTCTTTGCTTTGTTACATTTAAACAATGAAAATTATTTCATAAAAAGTTATTTAAATAAAAAGGAAACAGTTTCATTAATTAATGCATCACAACTGACAAGTTATAAATAACCACCAAATAATGTGGATCTCATTTGCAGCATGGAAAAAATAAATCAGTGGATGTTACAGATAATACTAATATGTCTAGAATAATATTCCTAATTATCATCATATTAGCATTATAATTATCTGAATAATAATAATATTAATAAAACTGGTATTAGACATATTGAGTATATTATGATCATGCATAATATAATAATAATAATTTAAAAAGTAATACTATATTATTGTGATTAGTAATAATAATAAATAGTAAATTTGGTTGGTATTAGAAATATTGCTATTATTATCATGAATATAATAATATTTTTAAAATT